CAGATGATTTGGTTCGTCATGGGGAAGGCAGTACAGAGTGGCTCCATCTGTGCTGATGGGAGTGTGTGGCATAGGCTGTTCACATTATAGTTAACTAGGAAGCAGAGAGCACAGCCAGAACTATGGGGTGGATATAACCTCCAAAGGCCTACCCCTAATGGCTTACTTCTACCAGCCAGAACCTAATTCCTGAAGGGCCCACGGCCTTTAAAATGTTACCACATGCTGTGGACAGAGCATTTGACACACAAGCCTGAGGGAACATGCAGATTCACACCACACACACTCACATTCAAGGCGTCCGGTAGGAAAGGCTGGCTCTGTGATGTGGGCATCACTCCAGGTTCCAATGTCTCAAGGCTGAGCCAGTTTTGGGCCAGACCCAGTTACTTGTCCTCTTCCCCTTTCCTGCGTCACTTTCCCCCTTTGATTCAGCCTGGTTAGCTCCCACAGGAGTTCCCAGCTCAAACCAGTTTTTGGAGGGCCCAGCCTCAGATGTTGTCCTCTCCCTTCCCACCTGCCCTGAGCTGCTGACTCAGGAGGAGTCCAAGTGGGAAGAGCAGGAGGAGTGTGAATTCAGCAGGTACTTCAGCAGGGAAGAAAGGCCTAGTACTGTCTGGGCTGCAGGCTGAGGCCAAGGCTAACTTAGGAAGTGAGGCCCTGCTGAGCAGGCCTATGAGGTCTGCTTGCTGGGCGCCTTTCCCACATTCCTACTTCATGCCTGCATGGAGCCCGAGAGTCTCCTTAGTCTGCTGGCCAGGCAGAACTGGCAACAGCTCTCTTCCCAGCTCAGGCAATAATTCAGGAACCAGCATCCATGGCTGCCCATTACTCTAAGTCCACCGGCACCCTCAATCCTGGGGCAGAGGTCAGGAAAGGAAAAGTTATCTACTTGGTCCTCTGCTTGGTCCCTATGCTGGAGTGGAAGAAGTTCCTCTGAGACACATCTGTTGGACACATGTGAGGAATGATGCAGTCTTCCTAAGCATGTGCATTCAGTACTATTTTACTCG